CCGACCGAGCTTCTTACTTTCACCGGTCGGACTCGCCGGACTTCTTCCTCATCGACCTTTCTCCTTGCATGCGTTGTACTTACGCCAGAGTAAATTAGCGAAAAGAACTTCAGATTTTGGGCCCTCCGCATTTCCTTCGCTCTCGGTGTACACCGTCGGCGAGTCAGCCTCTACGCGTCGCCGTCTTACCTTCCTAGCGATCGGACACTTCGCCAGAGCACCTTGACGTCTCCAGATAACAAGCGTCGTCACTATTTGAGGAGGTGCGAGGGTCTTCCATCTCACGTGAAAGGTCTCCTCCGGTGTTTCTTTCCCGTCGGCATCCTTGTGGGTTCCTCTCCTTCGCCGGTGTTGAGCGACCCCTTCTCGAAAGCATACATGCCGGTCTTATTTTCATATGCTGCGATGTTTAATTCATATACTTTGCATATCTCTCTTGCCATCATATGCTCTTTATCGTGCTTTATTGCGAGATTCGCCAAACGTGGGGTCTTCTCAGCATAAAGAGAACGCGTCCGCAAACGTCACGATGGTGAAATCTTCCAACTCTTAGCCGACCCTAGGTTTAGCCATGTCTAAGCGCGTGGGTTTGATGGCCCACGCAGGGTGGAGATGTCGGACGACATGTGTCGACCTGCCGAGCCACCTATGTGATTGATCGTTGATTTCTTAGGAGCCGTAGGTTAGGAATCTCATGCATTGGCCACTCCTATTTGAAGTCGAGTGATCCCCCGTTTTGTGAGTCTTAGGCCTCGATCCCCGCTCATTGAAATTCAATTTCCCACAGCTTTGACAATCCTAATCTTCTTTAGAGGGATTAGTTGAGTTCAATCTTAAAGGACGGGATAAACTTTTTAGCTAGTATCTTCTATAAAATCGTGGGCGTTCGTAGAGTAAAAAAAGCTTTGTAGCTAGTCCGCCCTACGAACGGTGGAGAGTTTACCCTACGAGAGATCAGAGGGGGAAGCTCTCCACATTGCCACACCAAAATTGGAGGCGGCGATGCTGCGAATTCATGAGCGTCAACCCCAGGTTTCCCAGGTGAGGTTGCTAGCACGAGCTTAGTCGCCAATCTGTATGTTGGTTTGTTTCAGATTGTACTTTTTTTGCTTTAGGCATGTTTGCATTTTATATCGCTCCGACTGGCCTCCCCGGTCCAGTGAGCTCATACTTCGCTCTGACCAGCCGCCCTGGCCTGGTGAGCGTCTCACTACACTCTGATCAACCCGATAAGCATGTCATTTTGTTCCGACCGGCCTCCCCGGCCCGGCGATCATCTCACTTTGTTCCAACCGACAGCCCCGACCCGGTAAGCATCTCACTTTGGTTCAACCGGTCGCCCCGGCTCGGTCAATCATGCACTTTGGTTCGACAGACGCTACGGCTTGGTCGACCGACCCCTTGCACCACTGCATGTTGTGTGTGTACATATGCATGTTTGTTTGCATGTTCACTAAATTATCTTTTATATGCTCGGGTCATTGTCGATTCGACACACCTGCGGGCCGCTGCCGCCACAACACGCCCATCCCTTTTGGTCACTGCTACCTCGACACACATTCCTCGGGCCTCTGCCGCTACGATACACCCATCCCTTTTGGTCACCATCGCATCGACACACCTTCCTCGGGCCTCTGCCACCACGGCACGCCCATCCCTTTTGATCACTGCCGCCTCGACACATCTTCGGGCCGCTGTCGCCATGACACACCTTCGGGCTGCTGCCGCCACGACATGACCATTTCCAGGTCACTGTCGCTACGACACACATTTGTTCGGACAGGTGCTTCCACCGCACGCTCATCTCTCGGTGGCTGCAGCTATGACACACCTATTTGTTCGGGTCGCTACCTCCACGATATGCCTATCTTTTTCTGAGTCACAACCCCATGACACACTCATCATTTCTATCACATGACTGTCTGTACTTGCATTTACATGTTTGCATGGGTAGCAAGCCAAACTCGTTACGAGAATGACCCCGTTTCAGTCATGATGCCTTAATGAACATTGCTTGTTGGGTTGATCACAGTGAACAATGCAAGTTAAGTCATTGAGATTGACATGAGTATGACTTTGCTAATGACCCAATGGATCTAACTTATGTCACCTCTATTCATGATGCCTTTTGGATCTTTTGGATATTTAGGTTGAGGTCGACATGATAACCCGTCAAAATTATACTATACCCAATCTTACCCCGCACTTAGATAATAGGTTAATGCTTTTTTCGTTAGGTGTTGTGCTAGGCTAGGATTTAGGGTGCTAGATAGTCTTTTTAATGTCTAACTATTGTTCTTTGTTGGAGTAGTTGCCCTAACCAGATATTCATCTTTTGCACTATGCTTATGGTGTGAATGCATGCTGCATATGTATGGTAGCGTGTTAGAGCGCTTTTCTGCAAGGAGTCATGTCTTTATGTGCACACACAAGTACGGCTATGGGGGGAGCAAGAAATGATTTTTAACATTTTGCTTACAGGTGTTATTTAGCTCCCCCACTTATAAGACAGCTCATTATATGTTATATGCATGTAAGCTTTCCAGCTACCATTTATTTTCATACAGGATTGAGTCTTTTCTTTTCCTATGTATTTTTAGAGTCTAAGAGAGTTTTGTAGCATAAATAAGATACGGGCACGGGTTCCGAGGCGTTTGGCGCAGGAATTACTTGGAGGGGACTAAAAGCTAATGCTCGTGCACCGTATCTTAATTCTGCATTTTTACATTAATGTATAGAATTAAGACCGGGCATGTATATGTGTAGTTTGACCGTCTTTTTCTTTTTAGGGATATGTTGCCGACCCAACGACTCTGTCCTTTCTTATTATTTTAATTTGACTTGTCTTTTTGTCATATTGCATGAATGGATGTTTGTGTATTTTGAGTGTTTCTTTTTGTGGTTTATTTGAGAATCACGATGCAATATATGCTCATTAGGACATAAATTCTTAATTTTTCTACAAAACTTTAAGAAAACATTAAAGATATTTAAAATTTAGGATTAAAGTATTCTGCATATATTAATAGGGCCACCACAATACTTAAGGACCGTTTTAGATAACTGCATTCATATTTGCATGTCCCGAGGTGAAGTCCTCGTGCTTCTCCATCCTGACTGGCTCAACATACCTTTTTACATAGGTGGTTGTCAAGTGTGCCTAGGGCGTTAGAAGTACCCCCAACCTAGATGGGGTGTAAGTCATTTTGTTTGGAATGTTTCCAGCTTTGTAGCTGAACATCTGCATCTCTTTCTTTCCTGAGACATTCTCGTCATTTCGACAGGTACAAGTCCCACCTCTTCGAGCTTCATCTTATAGTCATAGAATAAAGTTTCCTTCATTGGACCTTATGACTACCGAGATCCCCTATGGATGGCGCAATTCATGGATTGTTGACCGGGAATCTCAAAAGGTGATGGGTCGACTATCTTCACGATCGGGTAGACTTAGAGTCCTAGTAGTTGTGTATGAAGGGTCCGTGATATCCCGACCCAGTTATCTACCTTTTTAGGACCACTCTACTTTTCTGTTGTTGAGCCTATTTTAGCCCTGTTGCTTCTTGACTTCATCGATGTCATATTGATGGCTCGATGTCGATGAGTTGCCGCTCATTTGGGATACGATGATTTGTCATATGCTCTTATGACCCGAACGTGCTTTAACGTGTTGGGATACCCCCGTCTAGATGGTTTATGGTTATTTCGTGGACCCCGTATGCCGATGAGCCGCTATCCATTCAGGATGTGAGAGACTCACTCTCTGCCCGATTGCTTAGCGTGAGTTTTGAAGCATTGAGAGTTTTCTCACACGGTATAACCTTTTTTTGGGTACTTATTGCCCCAGGTTCACGATCATATAAATGAAACTTTTTATTGAGAGTATTTTTGGGTACCCCAAAGATGTAATTAACCAAATAGGATACTTCCCCTTGGGAGTGCTCTTGACCCCAGAACAGACATCTACACCCGACTCTCTGGTTTTGGGTAATTTACATAGACATTATTTCACGGATATCGGTTTAAGGTGCCCATCCTTATAAGGTTTACCGCGCGTAGACTATCCACGTTTTGTATTTTCTTTTGTCTGTCTCCTTGTCGTATGTCCCTTCTTATTCGGTTCCCCTCCTCTTCGAATCACTAATTTGATTCGAAGGGAGATTTATTCGAATGGGGGAAGTATATGACGATCCACAGGCTGACGACTTATTTTAAAATAAAAGAGAGAAAAACGAACGAAAACACAAACGAAAGTAGGTTCAAGGAAAGATATCATCAAAGTAAAAAATCTTGAACTCACTCTAGGATATGGAGCGAAGCCGTCTAGTGTTAGGTAGTTGCTCATGTGTTGCATGTGAATTTATAGACATAGCTTGCACCTTTACTGTGTATTTATATTCTTAACGCATTATCCTTAGATTAGTAGATATGGTTAGGGCACAATCTTCCTAATTTAATTTTAGATAGCCATCAAATTCAAACTTAATTCGTGCGAACCGGTTGGCCTGTTGGTTGGCAGCTCTGCGTAAGTCCCCCATTGTCCCGAGTTAGACACTTGCCTCAAATCCTGGTCAAAGGTTCCTTTAAAAGAAAAAACAAACTCCAACTTAATTTTATTTTAATTCCAATTTGAACCCTCATAACTAAAAATCCAAGAGTTTACAAAATACTATAATTCTAGTTTTCTAGTGTGTTATCAGCTTCGTTAACAATCCCGTCAAACAAAAAGAATCGCCTTACGTAGCAGCAACAAATAGTGATAACTGAACCGCCCACAAGTAGCGACAGGGGAAATGCATGGAAGAGCACGATCAAAATAACAGAGAATCTGCATATAGTAGCTACGGTTTGGCGGAGTAATTGATAGTGGCTATATTTCCACATCATCAAATTGTTTTACTTAATATTCTTGGTAAAATCATTTAGTTTTCCAAGTTACCTGCTATTTTGCTTTTCTTTTTCAGAATCTGAGTTGGGCTAAAAATTTGATTGTTTGTTTCCAGGATCTCTTAGCCATGAGTCAAGAGAGTTGTTTCTTTCAGCCTTGGTTTCTGAAGGTCCTTTATTATTTTTCATTTTTTATTTAATTTATTTTCAATTTTAATCTTATTCTTAAGCTTGAACTATGTACATATATGTGAAAGTATCGCTCTTCTGTTCTTGATTTGCAGGACGTGCCGAATGGATGGACAAAAGTCACAAGAAATGTCTTATACTGTGGCTCAGAATTCCAGATTGGGCTGACTATATTATAAACTTTGTAAGTAGAAATCTTATAAGTTGGGTCCTGTGTGGCGTTCGGGTCGCTTGCAATTTGCTCTTCTTTTACTTGTTCTCATGTTTAGGTGAAACAAAATGGGCTTGAAGATAGTGTTATGACTGTAGAAGATATACGCACTGGAATTGAATCCCGTGGAACTGGTACTCTCATTTTCTTAATTTTTTCACTTTCGATTCTATTGACATTGCTTTTTTGGAGTTATAACCCAACTTTCTAAGACATTATGGTCTTTATATGCTCTAGTTAGTTTGTGTTAAATATTGTTTTTTTACTATAGTTTCTTTTTGCTTGTTTTCGAACTCTTTTGCTTTAGTTTTGGTTCATCCAATTGACCCAAGATGTCATAGTTAAGCTTATAGCTTTGGACATGATTCATGCTGATGCTGAAGAACATATACAGGCACTAACCCAAAAGCACCAGTTTTTGTAGCAAGATAACACTGTTGTGAATTATTTCTATGAATGTCTAAATTAGCCTGACTGTTGTTCCAATGCTCTCTTTCCATTCAAATCCCGTTTCAAGTTTTTTGGAATTAGTTGTGATTTGCTTATTGGTTTTGTTATGAGCTGAACTTACCCAACCTTTTAAGTTTCCAAAAGTAAAATTCACAACACATTGAACCTTGTTAAGTAATATATATACATAAGCCTGAGTCATAGTAGTTTCATGAATGTTAAATGTTTATAGCACATCATGATCACGTCGAGTCAAATATTTTTCATCAGAATGTGGAATTTCTTTTTCTTCTTTTCTTAGGTTCATAAATTCCATTTATCCTCTTGATGTGTCAATTATGTTATTCTTAGATATTTGCTTCTATCGTGTGTTTTTTTTCTGTATTTTAAAGAGCTTGCTGGGATCGATCGCGTGGTACTGATGCGTGCTCTGAAGTTGTTGGAGCAGAAGGGAAAAGCAGCAATTTTCAAGGGGAGTTCAACAGATGATGAAGGGGTTAAATTTAATGTTTAGCATTTTTGTCATGTATTATCATTCCGATGTTTTTTTTGAAAATTCTTGCCTTTGACTGATGGCTTCAGCTGGAGCCAACTAGATCTGCATTTCTTTTCAACAAAATTACATATCATAAATATTTTATTCAGCATCAGTGCTCAAAAATCATATTTGGTGTAATATATTGTTTGGTCTCCGTGGGCGACAAAGTTCCTTTTATATATATGTGTAGAATATTTGCAGGTTGTAATTTCTTTTAAATTAATGGCTATCACTTGAACAAATATAAGATGAAAAATAAATTGTATTTTAGACGGTGAAGTAATAATAAAGGGTAATGTAAGATTGGTTAAATGTCTTCGTAAATTCCTTGAGAGATAATCTCGGCAATATATGGTTTTACATATGATATGATTGTCAACAGATGCTTTTATTATTATTAACTTATTGCCTTGTTTTTATGGAAGTTATTTGTATTCGCCGTCTTAAATGAACTTTGAACCATAAATCATTAATCATTATCAATTATTTTTGAGAGAAGATAGAGCTCTTCAATGCACGTTTTAACTTAATTTTTAAGAGCCCAAGTTACAAGAAATTGAAATTACGTGTTTTGGTCATTACATGTCGTAGTCGTAAAATTAGCACAATAGGCAGCCTCCTGCATCCTCGCTACATCCGGGCCGTTTTAGGATATCCGGAGTCTGGATATAAAATTTTCTCTTGCCTACAAGCATTGCCGCAAGGGTCATGGCTCTAATTCAGCTTTTATAGTTGACTGAGAGGCGAATACCTGATAATTCCTTTAAAAAATTGATTCGAATTATCTAATTTGGTTTGTAAGAGAGGCGGAGAATGTTCTTTGAATGATTTAAAATTGGTGTTTTTACCCACTTAACATTGAATACCTGTGTATTTAGTTATCTAACATCTAAACTTCGCTATTTATTAACCAAAAATTTATTTTACCTAATTTTTCTTTTACCCCAATTAGCCGTTTTGACGCGATCTTCCTTCGTCCCCGTTCCCTTCCTTTGTCCTCGACCCATTTCATGCCAAGCCGATGACATAAGAGGAAATCAGAGGAAACCCGTTCGTCTTTATCAACAGGGACGGAGTGGGGTGGCCGAGTTGGTTGTATTTATACCAAGGATGTCACCGGCTACCGCATGCACAACCGCAGTTGTCTGTCACGGAGTAACTTTCCCCAAGTCACCCGTGTTGCTTTAGCACTCTCTTTTAACACCAAATCAGTCTAATCCTTGCAACGCTTGGAATTGTGAGCACCAAGCACTCTTGAGAAGAAAAATAGAGAGAGGAACTCTTCACACTTGAATACTTGAAAGCTTTGATTGATATAAAATTTTCTCTTGCCTACCAGCATTGCCACAAGAATCATGGCTCTAATTCAGCGTTTTATAGTTGACTGAGAGGAGAATATCCTGATAATTCCTTTAAAAAATTGATTTGATTTCTCCAATTTGGTCTGTAAGAGAGGCGGAGAATGTTCTTCGAATGATTTAAAATTGGAGTTTTTACCCACTTAACATTGAATACCTGTGTATTTAGTTATCTAACATCTAAACTTTGTTATTTATTAACCTAAAATTTATTTTCCCAAGTTTTCTACCACTCCGTCTCACCTTCCATCTTTTACCCCAATTAGTCGTTTCGACGCGATCGTCCTTCGTCCACGTCCCCTTCCTTTGTCCTCAACCCATTTCATGCCGAGCCGACGACATAAGAGGAAATCAGAGGAAACTCATTCGTCTTCATCAACAGGGACGGAGTGGGGTGGCCGAGTTGGTTGTATTTATACCAAGGATGTCACCGGCTACTGCATGCACAACCGCAGCTGTCTGTTACAGACTAACTTTCCCCAAGTCACCCGTGTGGTTTTAGCACTCTCCTTTAACACCAAATCAGTCTAATACATGCAACGCTTTGAATTGTGAGCACCAAGCACTCTTGAGAAGAAAAGTAGAGAGTAAAGAACTCTTCACACTTGAATAATTGAAAGCTTTGATTGATATAAAATTTTATCTTGCCTACCAGCATTGTCGCAAGGGTCATGGCTCTAATTCAGCTTTTATAGGTGACTGAGAGGCGAATATCCTGATAATTCCTTTAAAAAATTGATTGGATTTCTCTAATTTGCTCTGTAAGAGAGGCGGAGAATGTTCTTCGAATGATTTAAAATTGGAGTTTTTACCCACTTAACATTGAATATATGTGTATTTAGTTATCTAGCATCTAAACTTTGTTATTAATTAACCTAAAATTTATTTTCCCAATTTTTCTACCACTTCGTCTCACCTTCCATCTTTTACCCCAATTAGCCGTTTCGACGCGATCGTCCTTCGTCCACGTCCCCTTCCTTTGTCTTCGCCTATTTCATGCCGAGCTGATGACATAAGAGGAAATCAGAGGAAACTCGTTCGTCATCATCAACAGGGACGAAGTGGGGTGGCCGAGTTGATTGTATTTATACCAAGGATGTCACCAGCTACCGCATGCACAATCGCAGCTGTCTGTCACAGACTAACTTTACCCAAGTCACCCGTGCGGCTTTAGCACCAAATCGGTCTAATCCTTGCAATGCTTGGAATTGTGAGCGACAAGCACCCTTGAGAAGAAAAGTAGAGAGAAAGAAACACTTCACACTTGAATACTTGAAAGCTTTGATTGAATGCTTGCTTTGATTGAGAGAAAGAAACACTTCACACTTGAATACTTGAAAGCTTTGATTGAATGCTTAGGTGATTACAAATGAGGGGAGGGGCTCCTATTTATAGCCCCCTCCCGGCATAATGGAACTGTTTAGATTATATTAAATTATTCTAGTTTCTAAAGAGTTCTACACATAGCCCTACAAACATTATAGGTTATTCTTGAGCATTTTCTTCTCATATTCTCTCAAATTGGGTAGAATCTTCTAGAATCCTTTGAATTGTTCTCCACAATCTGGTCTTCTCTAGAATTTTTCATTACATATTTGCCTTACTAACTTCTAGAATATGGCGGAGTGTGACACTCTCCCTCACTTAAACCAGCAATGATCTTATTGCAGCTTCCACTGCACCTTCAAGACTGCATCATCGGTTTGCCTCCGGAATTGACAAAATTTTGTTTCTCCTTGGTGTTATGGGAGCATGGTGTCATGCAACATGTCCTTCTTGCTGGCGGCTTATCTCTTGCCTCCAACCTTGTTGAACCATATTTCTTCTTTCTTGGCGGTGGTACGTTACGAACCCCCACCATTTTACTTGGAATCGCAACTCCATGGGTCTTTTCTCCTTCACTGGTATCATGAAAGATAGCCAAATTGTCTCCCTTGTCCCATGCAATGCCTTCCTTGAGTTGGATTGCTGATAGCATTTTGGATCCTTACTTGCTTAGCCTTATTATTGATAATGAGCAAGCTTGACTCCCTTCTGTGATGCACAAGCTATTGGCGAATGACATTGGGAATACTCTTGCTTGCTCCAAGAAGTTCATTCCTAAGACAACTTCGTAATCATCCAAAGGAATACAGAGAAGTCTAGAGTACCTGACCATGCCCTTTAGCCACTCCGTTGATTGGCATGTCTGCTGAGTTGACGACTTTAATGGAGCCCCTTCCTTTTGTCATATGCAACCCCAACCTCTTTGCTTCCTCGCAGGAGATGAAGTTGTGGGAAGCACCCGTATCCACCATTTCCCTAGTGGTCTAGCCTTTTATTGCTTTCTCCACAAAGAGTAACCCCTTCCCTTGGGTTTTAACAGAGCTTGCATCCCGTTCAACAGTTGAAGAGATCCCACATGTGCCTCCATGTCATTTTCTCTATTACATTCTTCTTCCTCCTTATGGCTTGCAAGGAGAGAGTTGAGGGCCTTCTTAGGAGGGAAATCCTTTGCCTAATAAGGTCCTTCACAAAGAAAGCAGTGGTTTTGATATGACTTTTTTTAGTCTTCCCCTTGTCCCTTGCCTTTGTTGGGGTTGATTCGCGACATTTCTCCTCCTTGTGTTTGCCCTTGTCATCCCCACCTTTTTGTCATCCCCACCTTTGCCCTTGTCATCCCCACCTTTAACATCACAACTTTTCTTCTCTTCAAGATTTCTTGACTCCTTTGAATAATTAATCAAGCTTTCAGCAATCGCGATGACAGTGACAAGATCTTGTACTCCTCGCCTCCTAAGCTCTGTCTTTGCCCAATGTTGGAGCCCATCCATGAAGTTGAAGAGAGCTTCCTTGTCTAACATATCTAGGATTTCAAGAACCAAGCTTCTAAACCCCTTAATGTAGTCTTGAATCAAACCCTCTTGCTTAAGCCTTCGCAGCCGGGCTTGAGCCTCATCCTCAGCATTCTCGGGGTAAAACTCCCTCTTTAGCTCTCTCTTTACGTCATTGAAAGTGGACATAAAGCACAAACATTTCTCTACATCTACTTTTCTTCTTCTCCACAAAAGTATAACGATGTTCGAGAGATAAACAAAGGCAAATTGCATTTTGGCATTTTCATCAACAATCCCCATTGCTCCAAAGTATTGTTCTAGTCCCCATAGAAAGTTGTCTACTTCCTTTGCATTGCGAACCCCTCCAAAACTCATAGGTTTTGAAAATTTAATCCATTTGGCTTTGAAAGTGGGATGGCTTGTGAATGCTGCTAGTGCCCTCTTGCACAACAAAATGTCTCCACGCATCTCCTCCAACCTAGTACGCATGTCACTCATCTCCTCCCCATAGGCTCTTAACACCTCTTGGAGCTTCCCCAACAAATCCTCCTGTAAGTTAGCCACACGGCCCATTAAAGTCTCCTCAAGTTGGAGCATCATACCTCTGATTGTTGAATGGATGATGACGTCCTCCTTCTTGAGTCCATCAACCCTCTGACAAAGATCCTCTACTTGGCCTTCCATGTCATTCATTGCGTCCTCCATCCGAGAAAGGTGTGAATCAAAACCATGCATAATCTCCTTGGACCTCCCATGTGGCTTGGGTGCAACATGATCTTTGTTCCAGGCAACCTTGCCCTTGAGATGACTCCATATTCATTGCTTTCGACTCTATCATGCACTCTTTGACACTCTTTGTCATTCCTTCGAACCAAGACTTTGATACCAATTGTCACAGACCAACTTTCCCCAAGTCACCCAATGGGCTTTAGCGCTCTACTTAGCACCAAATCAGCTTAATCCTCACAATGCTTAGACTTGTGAGCACCAAACACTCTTGAGAAAAAGGGTAGAGAGAAATGAACA